TAAAAATTAATTTTTTTTTTAAATTAAAAATTTAAAAAAAAAAAAAAAAAAAAAAAACGTAAAGTGAGAAAAATAAGACATTACTTAAGGAATATATTATACGAAAAAGTAGATTTAATTTATCATATTTCCTTGTTAAAAGAAAACAAGGCCACATATATTGATATACATATTACAATAAAAAAATGTAAAATATTTTTATATTACATAGTAAAACTTATTAAAAAAGAAAAGAAGATATAAAAGGTCTTAATTTGGTAGAAAATTACAACAACAACAACAAAAAAAAAAAATAAATAAATAAATAATAATATATTAATCATAAAACATATTTAATAGTTTTGAATACCTAATTTTAAATATATGTAATATATAATATTATTCTAATACACATCAAACAAAAAAAATTAAAGGTAAGGAAAAAAAAAAAACTTATACAAAAAAATCTTAATGGAAAAATTAAAATTAAAATAATGAAAAAAAATGATTTTACGAAAAATTACAAAACAAAATAAAATAACTTTTTTCATTTGCAATAATTTTAAAGTATGAATATTAAATGAATTAAACATATAACAAAAAACTAGGAGGTTTTAACTTAATAAAAGAATATACATATATAAATATATATATATAAAATAAATAGACGAAAAAAAAAAAAAATCATTTGAGTTAATAAAAATATATTGAATTAATAATCTTTCTTTAATTAATAATTTATTTTATTACCTTCATTTTGATATATTAATAATTAAATCAAATATATACACTTAAAAATAATGAGAATAAATAAAAAAATAATAAAATTGTTTTAAATTTATGAATTTATTATGAACCATTAATAATTTTTTTTTTTTTTTTTTTTTTTTTTTTGTATATTTTTATTCTCTATTGTTAAAAACTTATTGAACTATACATATATACATTTGCTGTTAAGGTGTTTGAGTTTATTATTTATTAGAAATATATTTTTTCTTTTTTTTTTCCTTTTTATTATTTTTTTCATTTTGTTTATCTTTATCTTCACTTCTATTATTTTCCGTTTGTTTATTTTTTTCCTTATTTTTATCGCTCCTCTCATCTTTTACTAATTTTTTTGGAATTGTTATTTTTTTTAAATTTTTAAGAGAAATCGTCTTTGTAAATAAATTGTTACTTCCTCTTATTTTATCTAAGTTAAGCGATGTGTATTTATTCAAAGCAAACGATTTCTTCATTTCAAATGATAGTGATGCTATTTTATTAAATGTTAAAGATCTGCTCATCACAAACTTTGGAATTTTATTATTTTGATACACTTTTAATGTTTTTGTTTTTTCTATTTTAGCACTTGATTTTTTTTTTTCTGATATTGATATTTTTTTTTTTTTCAAATTTAGAGGTTCTTTTTTTTCTGTAGACATTTTAAAATTAAATATTTTTAATAGTTTTTTTTTTTCGAGTGAAATTGATTTAATTTTATCTGTTGAAATAATTTTTTTTTTTTTTAAACTAAATGATTTTTTTATATTAAATTTTGTAATATCCTTTTTATCTGTAGGTAATTTTTTTTTTTCTAGTGAATTCTTATCCTTTAAAGAATTCATAGTATTACTTCTTTTAAATGTTAGCATACTTCCTTTTGAGCTAGAATACATTATTTTTAATAATTTGCTTTTATTTGCGTCACTTTTTTTATCTAAAATTTCATTTTTTAGTATATTTGATTCATCACTAGAAGTTATATCTTCATTATTATTTTGTTGAGTAATGATGGTTTTCTTTTTTTTTAATAATATATTTTCTAGTGAGTCTAATTTTTTTTTTAAATCAGAATTTATAAAATCAATTAAATATTTAACTTTATTTATTTCAACACTTAAAAATATATTTATGTTTTTTTTTTTTAAAAATTCTATTAACTGAGGTTTAAAAAAAGAGTATAAAAATTTTATTTTGTTAGGACAATTTTCATCGCAAAAAAAGAAAAAGGTATAAGTTTCAAAAATTTTATAAACAACATAAAATATATCTTTTTGTGTAATTTCTTTCACTACTTCTATGCTATTTATTTTTATGTGATCTGTATTTATCGTATAATTATTTATATCTATTGTAAATAAATTCAAACTCATGTTATTTTCTTCTGTGAGTAATTTTATATTATTTATTAACTCATCCGTTTCTTTAAAAGTATTACAGTATCTAAGTTCTATATTCAAAAAGTAAAATCCATATAAATAACTTTTTATGTATGAATGGTGAAAATCCCATTTATTTAATTGACCTTTTTTTAATTCTATAGAATTATTATTAATAGTTTTAATATTATTATTAACACAGTCTTCTAATTCAATAAAGTTTCTTATTTCAAATAAAGGTATATCACAATCATCAATAATATCTAAAATATTATTTTTTAAATTGTGATAAATTAATTTATTTAAATTACATATTAAATTGTATTTTTTTTCTTTTTCAAAAACTTTTATATAGCAATTTTTTTTCTTTAATTTATCTTCTTTGTTTTTTAAGTCTGCTATAACATCTTTTTCGGGATGCCACAGTAATAAAACCCATTTATATTTTGGTGTGTATTCATTAATATTGTACAAAATAAAACATAATTTATCATTTAGTAAAACTTTTAAATTTTCTATATCATCTTTTAAATTTCCTGTTTGTATTGAATATCCTCCTAATACAAACTGAACTATTAAAAATATAAAATAAAATTATGAAAATGATAAAAAAAAAAAAAAAAAAAAAATGAAAGGGAATAAATGAATAAAACAAATAAGATAAAAAAAGAAAATTTGAAGAAATGAAATAATAAAATAACAAAATATAACATATATTATTATAGAGATTAAAAATTTGATTTATAAGAAAAATTATAAATATAATTTATATGCCTTTAAATGTGTTATAATTAGACATTTTTTTATAGTTTTTTTGTGTATATAATATTTATTTATACTTACATTCATTATTTAAAGAAATAATCAGACACCTTTTGTTATTATTTTGATTATTGCATGAAGTTATTTCTTTTTTTATAGAGGGACTTATGCTTCTTCTCATTTTTTTTTTTTTTTTTTTCTTAAAAATGAAATATATTTTAAAATATATAAAAACACTTCAACTTTTCTTTTTTTTAGTTTAAGATCAATATTTTTTATGTATATATTTTATAGTACTAAAACAATGAAATATGCACCATGAACTTTTTTTTTTTCTTTAAGTTTATATTTTTATAATAAAATTTATGACGACAAATAAAATAGATTATGTTAAAATAAATGTTTACCTAACAGCTAAAGAACAATGTAGAATAGCATATAACATGTAACTAATTTGTTTATCGAAACAAATAGTAAAAAAAAAAAAAAAAAATGAAAAATTTGATATACTTACATTTTAAGGCCTTTAAAAGTTGAATGCATAGATTATATTGTAGCGTGAAAAAAAAAAAAAAAAAAAAATTAAGTGTATTGAAACATCATTTAAAAAAACAGCAAGGATTTTGAATTTTAAAATTTAAAGGAATGTGCTTATTTATAGTGATAATTCTATTAATAATAAAATTAAAGACTTAATTGAATTTTATTTTTAAATATATTTTAACATTTTTTTTAAGTATAGTAAAAAAAAAAAAAAAAAAAAAAGTTATCACCAAATTTTTCTTTTAATTTTATCTTTTTTTGTATCTATTTTATCACATTTAATAATATTAATATACTTTGAATAACATTTAAATAGAATTTAAAATTCATATATTAGAAAGAAAAAAAAAAAGAAAAAATGAATTAGAACATATGATTTAATAACTTAAATTTTATTTTTATTTTTTTTAAATATTAAAAAAAAAATTTTCTTCATTAATTTAGATAATTTTTTATAAGGAATATTTCTAAGAATTCTTTTTCTTTTTCTTTTTATTAGATTTTGAATTTTTTAAATATTGATATTTTTTTTTGAAGTTTATTTAAAATTTATATAAGAGCTAAAACATTGTTATATTTTACATATAAATTGCAAAATATAAATTTAATAAAAAAAAAAAAAATGAAAACAAAATTTTAAAAATTGTAAAGTTCTTTTAAAAAGTTAAAAATGAGCCATAGGAAAGATGAACGTAAAAACAAAGAAAAAATTCATGAGAAAAGTCAAAGAATAAGAAGAAAATATTCGTCATCCTCTGATAATGATAGTAAAAAAAAAAAAAAAAACATATATTCTTCATCTGATGATGAGAAAAGAATAAAAAAAGGATACCCAACTTATGGTGATAAAAGGATGAAGAAAAATCACTTATCATCTGAAGATAGGAAAATAGAAGAATCTTCTTATTTTTCTTCTGATGATAATTATAGTAATTCAAGTGTTAGCAAAAGTGATGACATAAAAATGAGAAAGTTACAAAGAAAAAATATAAAGAGATCTTCAAGTTCTGAAAGTGATATAAATAAAAAAAGAATAAAGAATGTTAGGAATAATAAGGAAGTAATACATGAGAAATATAAAAAAAATATCACAAAAAAAATAAAAATTGAGAACAAAAAGGAGGATGATAAAAATGTTTTTTTTTTTGATAATTCAAAAGATAAATCTAATGCAGCAAATAAAAATGATAAAAACGAAAAAAAAGAATTCATAGGTTTATGTTTAAACAAAGATGATAAAAACGATACTATACATGAAAAAGTGATTAACTCTGAAGATGATATGAAGATTAATTCAAACATTTTTAATGAGAAAAGAGAAAAGTTGAAACATTCTCAAAAATCTATAGAAAAAGTAAAAAAATATCAGAAGAGTGATGGCATAGATGATGAACAAAAAATTATAAAAAAAAATAATACATACGAAGAAGAAAAAAAGCAAAATATTGATGAAGAAGAAATTAGGGATATAAAAAGTAGGGAACAAAAAAAAATGGATAAAAGTAGTAACAAAATAGAAGAAAAGCAGAAAGATAATGAAAACAATAAAGAAAAATATTTAGAAAAAAGTAATAAAAAAAGAGGATATAGAATGGAGGAAAAAATAAAAAATGAAGAAAAATATGTACAAAAATTGATAAAAAAAAGCAACGAAAATGAAAAAAATGATAAAGAAAGCAATAGAGGTATAGATGTAGAAAAAGGAGAAGAAAAAAAAAAGACAAAAGAGCACATTGAGGAAGAATATGAAAAATGTAAAGGTGAAAAAAAAAAATTGCACATGAATGATTCTGAAAAACATAAGAAGCATCTAAGTTCCAACATTAAGTGTAAAGAAAAAAAAGGAATTGATAATATTACAAGAAATGATAATGAAAATATGAATAATTATGAAAATGAAATAGAAAAAGACAAAAAAATTAAAAAAGGAGATATAAAACATACAAGTGATTCTAATAAAATATTAATTGATACGTTTGATAAAAAGAGGAAGCGACATGACAATAGTGATAATGAAAAAAAATTATATGAACCTGAATTAAATAAGGTCGAAAAAAATGATATAAAAAATAAAAAGGGTGAAATCAATGAAAAGTTTAATGATTCAGAGGAAAATGTGAAAAAAAAGAAACATAAGAATTTAGATTACAACAAAAAAAGTATGGAAAATAAAAGCAGGAAAGAAAATAGCAGTAAAAAAATCCATAAAGATAAGGAAGAGAATTTTTTATATATGAAAATGAATAAAGAAAGTGTTGAATCTAGTAATGAGATTTTATTTAACAAAAAAAAAGCAAAATCGTCATGCAAGAAAAAAGAAGTTATGTCATCATCATCATATGATTCAAGTGAAATTTATCATAGAAAAAAAAAAAAAAATAAATCAAATAAAAAAATACAGATTAATGAAAAAAAAGAAAAAAAAAAATATAACAAAAATTACAGTAATAAAAAAAGCCTAAGTTATGAAAAAAGAGGTGTGTATATCAGAAATAGTGTTAGTAGTAGAAGTATTAGTAATAGTAGTAGTAATAGTAAAAGTAATAATAGTATAAGTAATAGTAATAGTAGTAGTAGTAGTAAAAGTAATAATAGTATAAGTAATAGTAGTTATGATAAAAGTAGCCTAGAATGCAATAGTATTAGTAGTAAAAATATTGTTAGAAGTAAAAATAGAGCAAATAAATATAAGGGTAACAGTAGATTATATAGAAGGAAAAGCATTATTAGTAGTAGTAGTAATAGTAGTAGAAGTAGAAGTAATAGTAGTAGTAATAGTAGTAGTAGTAGAAGTAATAGTAGTAGTAATAGTAGTAGTAGAAGAAGAAGTAATAGTAGTAGTAATAGTAGTAGTAGTAGAAGCAGAAGTAATAGTAGTAGTAATAGTAGTAGTAGTAGTAGTAGTAGAAGTAGTAAAAGTGATAATAGAAGTAAGAGTAGCAAAAGTAATAGCAAATTAAGCTATAGTGGAGGTAAGAATTATAGTAGTAATGATAGAAAAGTTATAAAAAATAAGAAAAGAAAATATATAAATGAAGACAATAAAAAAAATAATGGAAAAAATAAAAGATGTGATGGAACACAAAATAGTGACATTTATGAATTAAAAAAAAAAAAGCATAATAAGGAAAAAAAAAATGAGGAAAAAGAATATGATCCATTTGAGGAAAGTGAAAGTGGAAATTTAGAAATTAATGAGGATTTAATAGAATATGCAAAAAAAAAAATTGCGAATGTTACAACTGAAGATATAGGAAAATCAGGAGGAGTATATATACCACCTTTCAAATTAGAAAGATTAAAAAATGAAGTTACAAATAAGAAAAGTACTTTATATCAAAGACAAGAATGGATGAAATTAAAAAAAAAAATTAATAATATAGTTAACAAAGTAAATGTTGATAACATTAGTGAAATATGTTATGAATTATTTGAATGTAATTTAATAAGAGGAAAAGGACTATTTAGTCGTGCATTAATACATGCTCAATTAAGTTCTCCTGCTTTCACTAATGTGTTTGCTTGTCTTTTGTCTGTAGTTAATTCAAAGTTTCCTAACATTGGTCTGCTAACTATACAAAGAGTTATTTTACATTTCCGTAGAGCATATCAAAGGGGAGATAAAATTTTATGTTTTAATACTGTTAAATTTATTGCTCATATGATAAATCAAAGAATATTACACGAAATAGTTGGTTTACAATTATGCTCATTACTTTTACAGAATATAACTAACGATTCAATACAAGTATGTACATATTTTTTAGTTGATGTTGGTCAATTATATATGAATATATGTAGAAGGGGATTGGATATAATTTTTGATAGACTAAAAGATATAATACAAGAGGGTAAGATAAATATTAAAACACAATATGATATTGAAAAGTTATGGAATTATAGAAAAAGTTATTTTAGTGAGTTTCCTACTGTTATTGAAGAGTTAGATTTAATTGACGAAAATGAAAAAATTGTTCACGAAATAGATCTTCTTGATGAGAGTTTTAATAATCAAGAAGAATTAAATATATTCAAAGAAGTTCCATATGAGCAATTTGAAGAAGAAAATATAGAATGGAATAATATTTCAAACGAATTATTACATGGAATCACCTCTGACAAAAAAGAAAAAAAGAAAAATAAAAAGGATGAATACGATAGAAACTCTTCAGAAGAAAGTAAAAGTAGTGATGCTGACTCGGAAAATGAAGATATTTATAAAGAAAAAAAAAAATGTAAAGAAAATAATGAGGAAGATAGTGAAGAAGAAAGTAGTAGCGATAGTGAGGAGGATAATAATGAGGAGGAAAGTAATGATAGTAACGAAAGTGAGGAAGATTATGAGAATAATAAAGAAGAAATTAAAGATATGACTGAACAGTATCTTATTAATTTAAGAAAAAATGTATATTTATCTATAATGTCTTCATTAAGTTTTGAAGAATGTGTGCATAAATTATTGAAGTTAAATATAAAAAAGGGATATGAAATAGAAATATGTAATATGTTAATAGATTGTTGTTGTATGGAGAAAACATTTCAAAAATTTTATGCTTTGCAAGCAGAAAGGTTGTGTAAATTAAAAAAAATATATCAGGAAAATTTTGAAAAATCCTTTGAAAATTCGTATAATACTGCACATAGATTAGAAACAGCGAAATTAAGAAATTGCTCGAAGTTTTTTGCTCATTTATTATATACTGATGCTATATCATGGAGTGTTTTTATGATTATTAAATTAACAGAAGAAAATACCACTTCATCAACAAGAATATTTATTAAAATATTATTACAAGAATTAACTAATAATTTAGGTTTACAAGTGTTATATGGAAAAATAAATCATCCATCTATATCTCCATTCTTAAGTGGATTATTCCCAACAGACAATGCTCAAAATATCAGATTTTGCATAAATTTTTTTACGGCTATAGGTTTAGGTGCTTTAACGACATCGATGAGAAAATTACTATTAAATTAAGGGAAGGAAAAAAAGTTCGAATACAAAAAAAAAAAAAAAAAAAAAAAAAAAAAACATGAAGTAAAGAGGAAATATATAAATAATAAAAAAAAAAAAAAGCTACACAAAAAAAAAATATAGTATGAAAAAAAATAAGACTAAAAAAAAATATTTTATTAAAATTATTTTTGTCTAATTATAAATATTATTAATGTTCTATATATATATCACA